CGGCGGCGGCGGCGGCGGCGGCGGCGGCAGCGACGATTATCGTGCGGCTATGCGGGTCGTCGCAACGGTGCGAGACCTCGTCGCAGCTCGAACGTCGCGGAATGGGGCCCGTTGATCGGGTCCGGAAGAGCAGCTACGGGTTTCGACCATCGACGACGGAGGCATGGACGTCATCGGGGATGGGGATGAGCAGACCCTTCAGGCGATACTCGGTGAGTTTTTTCCTTCCTTTCTTTCTTCCTTCCTTCGTCTCTCGCATTTCGCGAAAGCGTCAACAATCGGTGCACGCGCCGTCAGTTTTTATTTCTCTCGTTTATCCCATCTCGAATTGTGCGTTTGCACAATTGGAGCGACAGCGACTCTCTCGCGACTCTCGTCTCTTATTTTCGAGCGTGTCGCATAACGGTATACCAGAGTCTTCTAAACGCAACTCGTTTGTAATAGTAGGTGCAAATCAAAAGCGAAGGTAGACGCGAGCCCCGATGACAGCTACGGAATGTCGCGAATTTGACACCGATACCGTTATCGTGCATCACCACCTGCTTCTTCACGGATATTGGAGCCACGGAAGAGCGGAGTCGACGCTCGTACGTTGACCTTAAACGCGCGCCGGATGTACGCGCGCCTTTTCATTCTGCGACATAATAGTATAGTTGAAAGAAACGAACGACACCGCCGGCCCACCGATGCTGGAATCGAAATTGCGATGAAACGCAATTTGTAGAATTGACGTGTTTCATACGATGAAACGCGGCACGTCATCGATGGGACCGAAACTTAAGGAGTAGGAGAGGAAGCTTCAGATCCGATCGGCGCTCCGTTCGGATCGCCCGTATTTTGCGTCGCCCCATTTGACGAGAGAATGGAGAGTAGATATTACACTACTTTGCGGTAGATGTATCGTTCGTACAGTCGACTTGGATTACCTGTCTCCTTCGGCCTTTAAAGCCGATAATAATCGGCCTCGCTCGTCCTATATTCGTAAAACGGTGTTCGACGCGCGCGACCAACGTCGGGGGACTCGGTGTCGCGTTCCG